CCTGGCACCTGTTCTTTTCTAATGAGACACAGAAAGGGAGTGGATCTGGAGAGGATGGGAGGTGAGGAGGAACTGGAAGGATTGGAGGGAGAGGAGACTGTAATCAGGATATAATGTATGAGAAAAGAATCTATTTTCAATAACAAGAAATAAAAACACAGCAAAAACCGCAAATGTCTTGTATTTTTGTCTCCTAACAATAGGCCCTCTGCTGATGGACTGGCTCAATAAGTTCAGGACAGGGCAGGATGTGCTACACAACAGTTCCCAGCCAGCCAACCACCCTCTTTCTTCAAACTGACCAAACCCAAACTAGGGGAAGAAAACTCTTCAGAGACTTTAGGAACCCCGGGCCTCCAGAAGAGATTGATTCTCGGTTTCCTGGGTATCTGATCTGCTTCACCGAGTGTCTTCTTCTTTGTGAGCCTGCTGTATGTGTGTTTCCTCACCCCCAAAACACCTTTCTTAACTGCTGATTGCGTCTGGGGTGTTCAAGCTTTCTCCTCTGCTATCTGTTGCACTGGACATTTCCTGCCTTTTAATTCTTTAATTGACAGAGAAAGCAAACCTGATCAAGAGCCCGAGACTGTGTCACGGGCATAAGTTATGTGTTGGTTAATGTTGATTATCAGCTTGACAGGATAGCTGTTTATCCAGGAGACAAGCTCCATGACAGACTTGTGAGGGATCTCTCTAGATTAGTAGAGACTTTGATCCTAAGTGTGAGAGATTACATCAGTCAAGTGAACTGTGGTGGGAAGCTCCACCCACCGTGCGTAGCACCACTCCATGACTGGGGTCTTGGAATGAATGAAATGGAGAGAAAGCTGAGCACAAACAATCATAGCTCTCTGCTTTCTCAATGTGGATACAAAGTGCCTAGTTGCCTTAAGCTCCTATCTTCAAAGGAATTCTTATATCCTTCAGTTGCTTTGGTCAGGATGATTTATCACAGCATCAGGAAAAGGAACTAAGACAACTGTATATAAATGAAGAACTATAGATTAATATATCAGGATGGAAATCTTAGTCTCCAATTGTTTCAATTTGTAAAGAAATCATTAGAAAACATGGGGAAAAGGGTATGTTAATACTGCTGGCAGGAATGCCATTGAAAAAAAATATTTAGTGAGAACAAATCCAGTATTCTTACAGAATGCATGATTACAAACAGCAATGTTACTGGTTAGGAGCTTATATTTAGAAGATGAATGTGATAGCCAGGCACAGAAGAGCAGATGCTGAGTGAGTTCCCTCACATGAACCCTGATCACCTTGACCTCACAGAAGGCAACAATAGAATAACTGCCACTAGAAGCTGGGAGAGCACAGAGAAAGGGCACAGAATGTGGTTGCCAATGGATACAAGCAATAGGAAGAATGGAGGAGCAAGCTCTGGCCTGCTACTGCACAATTGACTTGATGTAATAGTAACAATGCATTATGTACTTCCAAATAACTAGGAGAGAGGATTTTGAAGATTCTCATCATACAGAAATAATAAGTATTGGAGGTAATAGACAAGCTCATCATCCTTATTTAATAATTTTATAATGTACATATGCACATACTATGCAATTTTATGATGATTAAAAATGAAATAAAAATTGTCATGACTTCAAAAATTCACATTCATTACAGCAGAATTTGTCATTGTAAAATCTGAGATAACATCAGATGAAGGAAAATAGGCATCCTACTTGATGGTATACCTATTGAAGGGGTATCATGCACTGTTTGGCAGCTTCTATTGCTCCCTCACCAACTCACATTGGGGACTGAGGATTTTTTAAATCATCCACTGCTTCTAAGAGTAGAGTGGCATTATCCAGCTATGCAGGGTAATGTCACTAAATCTCTCTCTTTTTTTATTTGGGTTATAATACAGTGGATTTCTGCTATGGGATGTCTTGTATACCGTGAATATATGTTGCTATGATTGATTGATAAATAAAATGCTGATTGGCCAGTAGCATAGACTTTTGAAACATCAAAGCCCACTTTCAGTGAGACGCTTCTTCCAAAAAGGCCAAACCTACTACGAGACTATACCTCCTAATTCTTCTCAAATAGTGCCACTCCCTGATGACTAAATATTCAACATATGAGTTTATGGGGGCCATTACTACTCATGTGACCTCACTCTAGCTATAGTTGCATGGATTTTTATCTGGATCCCCTACTCTGTTCCACTGATCCATGTGTCTATTTTTGTCCCAGTACCATGCTTTTATTTATTCATTTTAATTTTTTATTGCTATAGCTTTGTGGTATAATTTGAAATCATGGATGGTGATACATCCAGCAGCATTCCTTTTGTTCAGGATTTCATTTTAGACTTTTGTGTTTCCATATAAAATTTGAGATTATTTTATTTACATCTTTAAATAATGGCTCTGAAATCTTGATTGAATCTGCAAATTCCTTTTTTTTTGAAGGACATTTTCACAAGATTAATTCTGCTCATGAGCATGAAGGGTCTTTCCATCTTCTGGTGTCTTTGCCAATTTCTTCAGTATATTAGTCAAAGTTTTCTATAGGAAGAGGATTGATTGAATGAATATATCTATGTCCATCTGTATATACACACAGTATTGATTAGATTGACTTACAGGCTATTTTCTAGCTAGTCCAACAATGGCTGTCTATTGATAGACAGTCCAAGAATCCAGTGGTTGTTCAGTCCATGAGGCTGGATATCTCAGCTGGCCTTCAGTATACATTGGAATCTTGAAGATGTAGGCTCTGTGTTGTGGGATATTCAATAGAGAAGACTGCCTGGACATGGGTTTAATCCAATAGAAAGGCTTATTAGCTGTCAGGTGACTATACTGGGTGCTTGGGATCCCAGTGTAGCACTGAGCCTTTCACAGGGTAAGCTTTTAAGCATAAAAACCATGTCCTGGGTTGACATACTTCAGTTACCTAGAACAATTAGCTAGAAGCAGAACTACAGAAGCCAAAAAACAAGGTTAGTTCATTTAGATACTTTTCTAGAACTATGGGCTTTGATGGATTAGGTCTTTGTTTTCATTTTTTGGCAGTTGATGCTGTCTACATGATGGGTTTTACAGCCTGAATGGTTCTTCCATCATGGAGTCAGTTGTCTGCAGGTCTGGTGCCCTGCTATATCTAATGCCAGTGAAGGAATGAACTTGCCAGAGACAGTGAGGGCAAGCAGGCAAAGTGCTTCATTCTTCCATGTCCTTTAAACAGGCTGCCACCAGAAGGTGTGGCCTTTAAGGTGGATCTTCTCATATCAGAAGATCCAGATTTAGGGTTGTCTTTTCACTTCAAGTGATCAACCAAGATAAATCCTTCTCAGTTGTGCCCAGCTGATGGGATTTTTGTCATGTTTACAACCAAGAACAACTATCATATAGAGGTCTATTTCCCCCCTTGTTTAGGTTTATTCGTGTGTGTGTGTGTGTGTGTGTGTGTGTGTGTGTGTGTGTGTGTGTG